AGTGTGCCCCCAGGCCAGAGCTTCAGCTTCTTCGCCTTGTAGGTCTTATCCGCGTAAATCGCGCACGGATTGGCTGCAAACAGCACCGTGCCGCAGCTATGCTGCTCAAAGTGCTGCCAAAGCAAGGTTTGGGCACGCAGTCGGCGGATTTCGCCGCTGAGGGCGCACGGCGGCTGCAGAGCTGCAGCCACTGCAGGCTCACAAAGGAAACACTCCGCAGCTTGCGTGCGCTTCCAGCTCTTCAGCTTCTGCAGGTCCTGCGAGCAGGGCTATATATATATATACTTCAAAGTACTTTAAGTATATATTATATATAGTTCCTGCGTGCAACCCATTCTATATATATTATATATCCCCTGCATGCAAGGCCTCCAGGACCTCGAGCTCCGGCTCGAACAAGCGCTGCCCGCGAAAGACCGCGCCCGCAGCGTCCAAGCTCACCAAGCGGAAGACTTGTGCAGCGTGGTCCTTGTTGGTATACCGCTCTCCCAGCACCAGGTGCTTGTTCCCCTGCAGTGCCACGACCGCCGGGTCGGCGCACTCCTTCAAGCTCAGAGCTCTCTCCGGCTGCTGCTTCGAGCGCTTGGTCCCGGACGCCGCCGCTGCAGGCACAGCCTCGCCCTGCAGCTCCTTGGCGAACAGCGCACTCAGCTCCGCCAAGTTCGCGTAGACACGCGCCTCCCTTCCCGCCTTTTGCTTCTGCAGTAGCATGAGCACGGCTCGCACCATCAAGCGGCCCATAGCCTTCAGAGGCTCCCCATTTTCCGCCAAGGCTGCCGCCTGCAGGTACAGCGGCCAAGCGCGCGCCAGACAGTCCTCGGTCTCCGCCACCCGCTGCGAGAGCGCCGCCCCGCGTAGCTTCTCTGCGTCGCTCGGCAAGAGAAGTCGCGCAAACCCATCCCTGCATTTCTGCACCGGCGCCGTAAGCTGGCATGCCAGCAAGGCGCACCTCAACATCGGCAGAAGTTGCCCCTTCACTTCTGTCGCGACCACTGCGCGCACGAAATCCTCCCCCAGCATCATAGATGCTCCGAAGACCTTGCTAAAGCAAGCCAAAAACTCAACCAGCGGGAACCGCTCACCTTCTCCCCCGCCGTACAACAAAACGTACTGCGCCAAGCTACCCGCGTATTTCGCGCACGCTGGCTTCGACAGCAAGAGCTGCTCCATGGCAGCGTCCTTGCGCTCTTCCTCGGTCAAGCAGCCATGTGCTCTCTTCTGCATGAACAGACTTGCAAAAGTCTGCATGCACTCCACCTCACTCAGAACCTTCGCAGCAGCGTGCGCCGTGTTGTACGACTGCTGGAATGCAGTCGCCAGCTCTGGAAAGCTCGCCTCAACAGAAGAGGAAATGATCAACCATTCCCAGCCGTCGCGAAGTAGCACGTTCACCGGGTGGTCCGGCTCGCGCCCCGCCACAAGGGCGCCCAGGCTGCTACCGTCCGCAGCACGCGCGCCTGTCACCGTCGCCTTCAAAAAAGCCGCTGTGTGCGACCCCGCCACGGTCAGAAACCGTTCCGTTCGGGTCACGGGCGCCAGCATTCCCTCTGCTGCCGCGACTACGCGCTCGTTGGCCACGTACTGCGACTCGCGCAACGCGGCATCGCTGCTCATCTCGAAGCAAACGCTGCCAGCTTCCAGGAGCTCCCGCCGCAGCCCGGCCTCAAGCATGACTCTGCCATTGGCATGTGCATCGTGTGGTTGCACCATCAGCCCTCCGCGATTTTTTGGATGCACAAGCATAGCCGTCACAGGCTCCCTTCGCTTGTACGCAAGACCTGCGCTCGTCAGCACCTGCACCACTTTTTCCACCTTGGTCCCCAGCTCCTGAGAGCTCTCCAACAAGGCCGCGACTTCTGCACGCGTGCCTGCCTCCATGCCGCCAACCGCTAGCTTCGCTAGACTTACGTGCTCTGCGACGTCCCTTACCAATAGTGATGCTGACATGCTTCTTGGCTTGCAGCCTGTGTGTGACTTTTGCTTTCTGCTGCTGCTGCTGCTCCTGTGCTGCTGCTAAATCTTGCACATGTCCCCGGAGCACGCCTCCGGGGCTATATATGGCTAATGCACTGCCGCCATGACCTGTGCATGCTTCCTGGACTTCGAGCCCGTTAATTCATGCGGCAACCAAATGGACTGCAATTCGCAAGCGGAATTAAAACTTGAATCCCGGAATGTCCATCAGAAAAACACTGCATGTCGTACTCGCAACTTGCTTCTGTTTCACATTGGCACTCAAAGATTCATAAAGCGTCATGCAAGGAAATGACACTTATAATACTTTGATAAGTGGTTATGCAATCACGGTTATAACCACTATAGGACTTATATTTTTTATGCTTAACCACTTACATAACGTATATAAACTTTTCTATAAACACCATAAAAAATATAACTTTTTATATAAGATAACATAACTTCTCTAACCTTGTATCACCCTTATAACAGTTTACTACTGGCTTAGAACTAGCTTATTAACAGGTTACTACCAGCTTGTCATCCTCTGTAATCCTTCCAAGTCATTAGCTAAAACCCGGTCCATTAAAGTACTACTAGAAACCAAACCTACCGCAACAAAAAAGAAACAAAACAACCCAAAAACTGCTTAAAGACGAGGGTCATGCACTGCACTTCTACAAGTAAATTAGACAAAACAAAGCTTAAGCATGGACATGTGTGCACTTCAAGCGTATTTCAAGACATTGAGACTTCAAGCTGATTGCGCTGGTCCTCTTGATCAGCATGTGCTTTCCGGATTCAAGACATTGCTTTCCAGTCTGTTGATGTTTGAGGTCTCTTAGGAACCTAGCCAAGGATCACGCGTCCCACTCGGGGCACTGTTTCAAGGGATACTGCCTCGAGAGCAGCGGTAATGGCGCCGTGACGGATAAGGCCATGCCCGATTCACACTTGAACACCCAGTCTCGCTGGTTGCATGTTCACTCATGGTCAATTCCGACTCATCAGCGAGTTCAATGACTCCGATGAGAAAACTTCAAAGAAAGTGGGGCTTCAATAGGCTCTGGTTTCCTTGCTGATGTTTACTAAAGAAGAAAAAGCCAAGGATCCTGAAGCATTGCACAGCGAGTATGTGAAGATTGTAGCATTGCACGGCTTGTACTGTAAAGGATGTCACAAACACACTGGCAGGTACGTGGATTGAGCGTCCTCAATCCATTTCACGACAAACTGGAAAGGTCTTCGTTGGACAGTGCCTTCCAGAATGTCCACTGTCCCCCTGCACGATCACTCTCTAGGTCTCAACCTGCAATTCTCACTTGCACTGTCCCGTAGTAGTTTGGGTTCCCCACACACACACACACACTTGGGAATCCATCGCGCAGCCACTCATCTGTTGTTTATCAAGCCATGCTTGATGTAATCGTGAAAGCATCAAGCTTTCGGAGTTCCGGAACCAATCAGGACTCAAGGCTCATCAGGCTAATCTGGACACCACAGGGGGCCTGTCCTCGTTTCTAATTCTGGCACCACAGGGGGTTGCCTTTTCAAGTACATGTTTTGGACTTGTAAGGGGCGAGGATTCCAGCTGCCACGACGGACCCAGGAATTCCTCGTGAGGGCCACCAGCTGTCACGAAGACCTAGGTGCACCCTGCCCCTTTTATTCGCAGGTACGTTTCCACGCCCTGTCACTGCTAGTCTTCGTTGGCTGAGGTAGCAGTGACGGGCACTCAGCCCCTGCTCCGAAAAATCGAATCCAGAATTCAGGTTGTTTGGTTTGAGGGTTTTGTGGATTCATTCTTAGCAACAAAGGTCCCACACACACACACCCACACACCCACGCACCCACGCACCCACGCACCCACGCACCCACGCACCCACGCACACACGCACACACACGCACACACGCACACACACGCACGCACGCACGCACGCACGCACGCATGCACGCACGCACGCACGCACGCACGCGCGCACGCGCGCACGCACGCGCGCACGCACGCCCGCACGCCCGCACGCACACACACGCACGCACACCCACACACACACACACACACGCACAACACACACACACACACACGCACACACACACACGCACACACACACACACACACACACACACACACACACACACACACACACACACCCGCACACACCCGCACACACCCGCACACACCCGCACACACCCACCCACACACCCACCCACACACACACACACGCACACTTGCGCCCGCACGCGTCCACACGCCCATGCAAACTCCCATCCAGCCAACCCAACCGCCGAAGCACATGCACTCCCACCGCGACACCCATGCAGTCCCATCGACCCAAGTGCCCACGCACAGACACACATACGCACCCGCGTGCGCATGCACCTACGGACCCACCTGCGCACGCATGTACACACAAGCATGCACAAATGCAGGCATGCAGCTGCTGATTGTTTCTGGGTGTACGTTAATGTGGCGCCATGGAGGATTGCGAATTGGCGACTTGATCGGGACCAGCGAGTTTTGGTTTCGGCAGAAGACCGCCACGAAACTGGGGATCTTAACATCCCCATGTAGTTGCGGCGTTTATTTGCACGCCGGGTTCAGTCTCCGGTGGCATATCAGATTAGATATCGTTTGTGCTGGAAGACCTCCGCAAGTATGGTATGACTCCGGTGTGCAGGTCGGGCATGGGAAGTAGATGCATAAGGCAGCTCAAGGATGATTGACACCTGGAGTATCCTCGAGTCTTCCAGCTGGAAGGCTCTGGAAAACCCTGAAAATGGTACAAGTTCGGAATCTTCACTTTTGAAGATGCTGGATCATGAAGCAGTTACATCATCCCAGGACGGGAAGACAGCTCAGTAGTCCGCTGCCCATTTACTTGGACGCCATAGACGTTTGATAGTTCGCTTCAGCGCAATATGCAGACCGGAGAAACGCAGAGTAGATTCTTGCCTCCCCCCTTGGACTGTCCAGTCATCAACTCAAAACCAGATAGAGTGCAACTGATGGATTAGCTGTCTCTATACTCATGTGGCAGATGCAGATGCCAGACACACAGGCCTGCGATAAGAAGCTTACCTGCGCAGCTTAGCCACTGACCCACGACCAACGGGTCAGGGTCTCCACCAAGCGGGACAGATGGGCTGTTTCAGCATTCTACTAGTAGTTGAAGCCCGTGGTGTAATCGGACGGAGAGCAGGTGAATTACGGCTTGACACTGGACGCAGAGACAGGGGCACTGCAGCTTGCAGAAGGCTGTGCCAAGCTTGGATGCTGGAAGTCGCCGATAGAGGCCGAACTTTGCTTCGTTGCCCCGGTTTTTGTGTTTTGCTGCTCGGAGGCATGACTAAGTGCTGTGGTGCTTGACAAGCTGTCGAGAGCTGCAGGAAGGTGAGTTTTGGTGGCACTGTGCAGGTGGACTGCGTCGTGACGGCCCACGAGGAGGTAGGCTTGGCAGCCTCGGCCAAGCTGTCCGTCCGTGTCGGAATGATCAGCTACGGCTCCACGGCCTGGCCTTCAGTGACGTTGTTTCGTTGTCCTGCCCCCACATCTCGCAGTAGACGGTGAAGCTTGAGAGGTTCCGTGACATCTCAGGTTCGAACCCTTTGCTTCTGCTTCCCGGTGTTGAGTACGTTCCGGTGCAGCAGTCCTCACTGGCCGTCAACGATGCCATTTTCAAGCTGGCCTCTAGTATGCATTATCCAATACGGATTCGCAGGGCGCAGCAACTCCATGTTACGCTGAATGTTGGCAAAGTCTTTCGGCGAGCACAGGCTTGTGCACCCACGCCTACGTGGCTGCAGATCGATGAGAGCACTGGTGCCCTGTCAGGCGTGGGTTGTTGGGTCTTGCACGCTGAGTCGGCCATCCGGGGTGCTGCACGTTCGACCGTTTGATGTCCGGCGAGCAACAGACAGGTGCTCTATCAGGGGTTCACCAAGCGAACTCCTCGCATCTCGGAGGGGAGCGTATCAAGCCATGAAGAGGTCAAGGGAAGCCCCGGTTCGGGCAGATGCTATAGCCATGTTCGAATATACTTCGTTCAAAGGCATCTGCACAGTTGAGAACTCTTTCATTGACAGTCTCTGTCGGACCAATGTATCGTTTTTGTTGACTGTTGTGGCTGCTGTAGCTCCGGCCGAAGTCAGTTCTGCAGGAAGTGTTAGGACTGTTCTTGGACCCGGAAGCTTTCATGGCACTTGGTATGATTAACGAGGTCTTCCGTGCTAACCGACGATGAGGGTGGTTTCCTCGGAGTCGGTGCGACATGCACGGTGCACAAGGGTGCCAGCAAGACGCAGGCGACGTGCTTCCGGCTCTCCTGCTTGTTGGGTCTTCCGACAGAGAGGATGTTTATTTCGTGTAGCCGCCAGGCCATGGCTTTGGTGTTCTTGAGGTGACGTGGTGATTTCTTTTGAATGGAGGGTGGCTTTCAGAGCAGTAGATCACGGTTCGGTGCTCAGGGTGGAGTTGGGTAGTTTAGAAACCAGCCAGGGCCGGAGCGGCGGTCATAGGGCTTAGCGTGCAGGATGGTCTCCATGATACTTGCCACGGCGCCCCAGCAGGTGTGACGATTTGCGCAGGGGTGGTTCGATACGGGTACTGCCGTGGCAAGGCCTCCCCCAGCATGAAATCCAACACCTGAATGTCAAAAATTGAACGACTGCCGCAGCGCTGAATCAGATGATCTCATTAATTTTAACGCTATGCCGCCCGCCTCGGCTCTCCAGTGGCAGGGCGAGGGTCTTGTAAACGGTCTGGTCAGAGAACGAAAAGAAGACAATGCACCCGTGAAATGCTCGATTCAGAGCTTGGTGGGAAAGCCAAAGCGGGGACGAGGAAAAGGCAAGGGGGTTGGCAGAAGAAGTCGGAGGGCGGTGAGCGGGGGGGAAAAGAGAAGGAAGGGGGGGGAGGAGGCCTGGGAGAGGGCGGGTAGGCCAACAAATTAGGTAAAATGAGGGGAAGCCGGGCAAGGGGGTGGCAAACGAACGCAAAAAACGGGTGTCTCCAAACGTTTGGACTGCAGAGGTTAGGTGGAGGGTACCTGAGGTAAGACCCAAGACGCCTGGGCCTCTGGCCTCGGCGGATTTAACTGGGACATGCAGCAGGCATTTGGTCGAAAGTCACACCGAATAGCCGGCCTTCAATGCTACTTTTCCTGGGCACAGGTTGTGGTCATGGCACCGCATGCATGGAACTCCATGTCCTTTTCCTACGGCCCGGAGACCACCCTCTATGCGACCTTGGGAGAGAAGCTTGCTCTGTGTCGGTTCGGCTCTTGAGCGTCATTGGTCGATGGCCTGCGTTGTTCTCAACTCAAGTGTTACGCGAAGTCCGAAGCACAATCGGTCTCGTTTCTGCACCACACGATACCCTAATGTGTGCGCCACATCCGATTGTGAGGCTTTTAATGTGCCGAACCTGTTTGTGTGATATCTTGTTGATGGTGTAGATGACAGTAGGAAGCCCAAGGAAGTCACCCATCCTGGAAGTCAAGGGAGGAGCTGGGGAGCCGCCAAACCGCTTCGACGCCGCTTGCGGACAGCTTGCGGAGTAGCTCGTCGTCAGCTTCCATGTAGACATGCATATGCACGCATGAATGCATGAGTCGATTCATGCATGCATGCATAAATACATACGTAAAATTTTGTAAATATAGAAATCCTCACTGTGCAGCTATCTTCATATCAGTGTAGCGAAAATCTAATACTGCGCAACCAACTTTAGCAAACAATAACATAGCAAAAACGAGTAGAATAGAAAGCGATTTAATATCTGCGGGGATCTAACGCAAAGGAAACAAAGGAGTAAGTGTGTATGTGTCCACGCTCCGAAAGTAGTACTCATACAGATATATTCGGATATGCATATTATATATATATATATAGAACAGGCAAATATTATAGATATATTCTAGACACATACATGTAGACATGCCTACATACGTAAACGCGTGCATGATAGTTCTGTTCTGGCACGGCCTTGTCCTTTTGCAGAAGCCCCAAGCTTTGCGGTTCAGCATCGGGGGTGTGTTTTACGTAGGCCGGCTCCTTACATGAGCAGTGGTAAACCAGCAGTACGGTAGGCGTTGATCTGCCTGAGAATCTCTAGCTTGTGGTTAGCCGTCAGGTGTGAGGCCTTCCCCAGGCATCTGACTTAAGTACGATGAATGTGCGAGTCGCAGCGTTCAATCATGCGGTAGCCTCCTTGAAGGTCTGTGGGCCTTAGTAACGAATTATTGCTGGAGCCACGTTCCAGATGTCGACGCATGTCACCTAGTAACGTGTTGCGAAGGCGGGGGTTCCTGCCTCGATACGGTGCCGAGGGCCGTTGGGTATCAGAGTTCATGTCATCACCATCAGCATCTTGGTCATTCCGATTGTAGCTCCGACTGCTGGCAATAAGTTGAATCTCATCAATCTTACTCGTTGCTTCTGTGGTTTCGTTCACAAGTGCGGCAGTGGTTTGATGTCTCGCTTCGTTCTTTAGTTAAGCTGGGCTTTCCAGGCACGGCATGGAACCGGACCCGAAGTTCGCCTTTGACGTTAACACGGGAATTGCGACGTACTCCGACCACCAGATCTTCACCCTGGAGGTTTCAAGCGGGCACCTGCAGCTCACTCCGGAAGAAGCCTTGAGTGCCGTCCTCCCGCAGACGGGCTATTATGACTTTTACGGCCGGGCAACTTTGCACTTCACGTGCAGGATTCCAGGGCGTGCTGTCTTGGTCTAGGTCTGTCTTGCAACTCTCCATGGCTAGCAGTCTAACTAAACTCCGCCTGTATTACTCCGAGAAGGTGTCTCCCCGGTTTTTGAAAGCCTGACAGGATCTATGGTGTTTACACGTGGGAATCCATCGGCAAGAGCAAGATCATAACTCACGATCTGAGGATCGCGATTCGTGACCACACTTGCTGGCTGAAATCCAGCGTAAGTTACCAAGCCTGGAAAACCCTGGGACCAGCAGGAGATGGAGGAATGTCAGAGTGCCGTTTACTCTGTCGCAAGGATCCATCCTGCACACACATCTGGCTTTCCGGGCCCTTTTGCAAAACTGCGTTCCGACTGTGCTCCGATATGGACTGCCACTTCAAGCACTCGAAGATGACAGCGCGTTACCCGCATTGTGGAGAGCGCCACAGCTGCATCAACATCCAGCTGCCGGGCTACCACTACGTATCGGGCAAGTACCTTGGCAACCTCTGTGCCGGTGTGATGTGCACGTGGACCATTCTGCTTCCCCTCAGACTCAGACTCACCACAAACCACGTGGCGATGCCGGCCATCTAGAGCCTAGAGGAAGAAGAGACTAGGTCTCATCAACAGGTCAAGAAGCCAAAGGAGGCAGAAAGACTGCCTGGGCTCAACCCGAACATACGGCATTCGAGCCCAATAACGAAGTCAAATATCGAAAACAGAACTGAAGAACAACAGGGAAGGAAAGCAGAGAACAATAGAGAAAAATAAAGAAAGAAACAAGGAACACTAAGCAGAATGAGAGAGAGAGAGAGAGAGAGAGAGAGAGACTGCGAGAGAGAGTGCGACAAAAGAAAGATGCAGAGGAATGGAAAGACTGAGTTGCGAAAGCGAGAAAGAAGAAAAGTCGGAAATTGCGGCAAGATGCAACAAGCTACTGTATGGACGGACAGTTCCAAAACGAAAACCCGTGCAAATCTGAGTGAGAGTGGAGGACAATCGCAAGCATACAAAGGAAGCACAATAAGAAACGCAGCTAGCTTCTGAGCATGCGTTTTGCAACCCGGATATCAGCACGGGCATGTGTGATGTAATCAGGCCACGCCTTATGGTCAGCAAGACAGCATGTGATGCAAGAGAACCACAGCAGCAAAAAGTGATCGAGATGCACCGTCGAGTTTTACGCGACACCGCCACGCATCACGGACATTTTAGGCACAAGCCGTGACTCCAGCATTATGAAAAGGGCGCTGACTGACCGTGAACTACCCCAGCATATGGATTTTCAAGTTGGGACGGTGTTCTTCGCACTCCAATGTCCAAGAACCATTCCGGGGAAGAGACAAGTACAGAAGCTGTACAGCAAGACTCGCCTCCCATGCAAGATTGATTCGATTGTTTCTTCGCATCCTGACTGGCGGTCTGGTGATTGGGGCTGCTTCCGGATTTGTTATGAGTTGTTAACTCGAAGCAGCATTGGATTCGCTCTTCTGGCCGTTGCAACAACCGCTGACAGGTATTGTCCCAGAGGCGAGAATGTGGCCAAAACCGGCCAGGGGCCTGTCTACTTCAAGCAGGGTGTGACTGCACAGGCGGGAAAATCGTCGGGGCTGCAGTTCATTGGTTTTGGTGGCAGCAAGTGTGCTTGAAGGGAATAGTGTGCTCACCCAGAAAATTCATACCCGCATACCGAGAAATCGGCATCGCAGTTTTGCCGAGGCTCGGCAGGAGCAGCTTTGACTAAAAAGCGCTGATAGTTTGGAAACGGCAGGCTGGCAATCCTTATGTGACTGACATGCACAACTCTGCCTGCCCTAATTGCAGGCCCATGCAGAACCCATGCCCTAAGAAACTAGTTGTCGTTCAGGTCTTCCCCCCATGATCCTCCAGCATCGATTCTGGCAACAGAGCCTGCTAGAACTAGGAATTTGCTTTATGGCTGCACAGAAGTAGCGACCGGATTCCTTGCACAAACCGCCAATTTTTCTACCCCAAGTCACCAGATTTCCTCGCTCCTTTCTCCGGGGAGTTACGTGCAGGCACGGAGATTCGATGAACGAGGTTTGTGAAGCATTTCCTCGTGCACGGATATTGAAGCTCAACGTTTCGAAGCGTTCTTTGGTAATTATCCGCCTTCGATGAGGAGTCCTTCTGGTTGACCCGGCGGATGCCGTCCCACACTTTCTGCGGCGAGAAAGATTGGGTCATCCTGCAAACCAAAGCGCAGCAGGACAATGTCGAACTCCGGGCTTGTTGCACAGGGTCCTGTGTTTTTCGACACGGTCGAGACACCAGACCACTTGGTATTGCACTTGCATCCTGGCAAAGTGGCAAGACCACTTATCACATCCTCTCAGAGCACTGCGCGCTTTTGTTACCACCGAGCCCCAAATGCACTGCGTGACTTTCCTTCTGTGCATGAGCGCATGCGCGCACAAAGTCGTCGAACAGCAGCAGGAAGTGTGTGTGTGTGTGTGTGTGTGTGTGTTCAAATGAGCTATGTTAGCAGAAACCCGAAGAAGAAGGAAGATTCCACTGTCCTTTGCATATCATCGTGTAGCAAGCTTGGGTCTTGAAACGGAGCTGTGCGGGGGGTGAGGGGATGCATGGTGTATCCCCGTTTTTGTGAAGGCTTCTGGACTGAAGTCTGGAGCTCTTCTTGTCTTGGCTTCCGCTGTCTCAGACGGCCGTGAAATCGGCAGGACTACGAGAACGAGACGAAAGCCTACGTGGAGTTGCATGGCGATGTGGTGGCTTGCGTCACCGCCAAAACAGCGGACCTCGCAGCTGGGCCGTTTTGTCTTGCCTATCTTTGTTTTAGTTCTCATCAAGGAGTGCTTTTGGCACTGACAATGCACTGTCCGCAATCGGTAGTTCTCTGAATTTGGGTCCGTTTTGCTCTCCTTGTTGTACGGACGCCGCCTTCTTGCGGGCTCCTTGAGAAGAAACCCTAATTGAAAGTATTAACCACATGGAAGCACGCAGCATGACTATGCTGTGCAGCTGAGCTGCCACCTGGCCCCACCTTTTGGCTCTCCAGCTGCAGCAAGCCCAGGTATCTGAAGTCTTCGAGAATCATGACGAAGTCCAGGCTTGAACGTTTGCCCAGACGAGCAAGAGTTCAGGGGCAGCGGTCTTTATCGTCTTGTTTCGAACTTGTCGTCAGGCCTGATGGCATGAGACTGCTAGCAGATTATGGTTCTCGATTCAAACAGCGTGTTGACACCCAACATTTGTAGGTTTGTCCATTCTTGCGCAGCAGCATATCCCATCTTTCCCTGAGTCTGCCATCAAGGATTCTGAACATTTGCAGGTATGCAGCAGGGGAAGTGGCTCGAATGCCGTGTGTGGGATGTCGGCTTTCTTGCCTTGAAGCAAAGTGCTTCTTTCAGCCGAAACCCCGAGACTTCATGCTCCTGTGTTAGCTCTTTGTCTCCTGACTTTTGTTGTTTGGAAACCGATGTCTCCCTGGGATCTGGCTGGAGCATGTTTAGAATGTTTCCTGCTATCGTTGAACAGATGCAAGGGTCCTTTTAGAGAAAGGCTCGCACGTTGTTGCGATTTCTTTTTGCTCCCCGTCGTTGCGCTTGCGACTCTTGCATGTGTTTCCATTGCAACCTGATGGCACATCTGAAGGCTGCTGGGCAAAGGCATCTCTATAATATATTGATACTTTATTGATGATATACTGTAGTATATGCTCACGAAGTATGTTTACCTATTGCCTACGGATCTGTAGGCTCCAGCCCTGAATCCTTCAGCACAACGGCCCCCCGACACCAGTCCCGACATCCAGGTGAAAGTCAACTACACCCGCCTCAGCTACTCCCAGAAGAAGGGCATAGCTCCTTGGAAAGAACTGGCACACCATAAATGCTAGGTTCGATGTCAAAATTTGGGCTCTGAACGGAGTGACGAGACTGCTCAGAGTGAATCCTGCGAAGCATTTCAGAAGCTGGCACGCGACATTATGGAGCACTATCAGAGCTGAGCTCAAACACTGGAAAGACTCACAGAGCAACCAGCCCTGAATCGCAAAAGGACTCAAGCCACAGCCGGGAAAGCGACAGCAGCATCAGTCAATTCTGAGGGGCAAAGGTTGCGAAGATGCTGGTCGCCCATAGATGCCCATAGGCCTTACAGCCACGAGTATTCCAAGGTGAGAGAGGGTTGCACGTGCCTTCGTCATCGTCGTTTTCTTTACTTGCTTATGAAACCCTCAACACCTTGAACTCCTTCACACACGCGGTGCGAAGGACAGTCAAAAGCCCCTGCTGTCAATTTTCAGACGAGATTGAAGGCGTCCACCTCCAAGCGCTTGATAATTACCTCCTTTGCTTCTGCTGGATCCTGCGGAAGCTGTTTCGGAGAGAGCCAAAGATTCATGAGAACCGATGCTGCTGCTTTTGGAGTCGCTTGAAAAATAGTTGACAATGCCGACATGCCTGGGCGAGAAACCAAAACATGAACACGCCACGCAGGTAGCTGGTCAACAAATTCCGAAAAGCGCAAAAAGCACACACAGACCACACATGTGCCCAGCCCTTGCCCCTGGCATCCCCAGCGCCAGCGCAACAGCAGAGCGCTTCCTCGCAAAGTCCGGCCGCTATTGGTTTGCCACTTAAACTGACGCGTCGCAAGGCTCGTCAAAAGGTCCAGATCGACCCTTCTTGGTGGCTGGAGTACGAGGTGCACAACACCACCGCTGCTTGAATTGCCCCGGTACTGGCTTCTATGTTTCCGTTTAGTGAGCAATGACCATAGGCGCACTGTGGTCTTTGCTAGTCAAGTGGTCGATTCCAAAGCACTCGAGGGGGGGAAACTGTGGAACATCTACATGTCAGCTGCATGCAGCGCTGCAGGCTTTAAGGCACCGTTGGTGTGAGTACTTCTTGTTGTTGATGATGCCCTTCTGCAAGTAGGTCCTGCATCCTCAATTAAGGTCGACGGCCATGCCCTGGTGGCAGTGCCCAGCTGCCCAGCCCCGAATGTGACGACGAAATCTGAAGAAGGCGAATCGGGACACGTATTTTATGGCGGAGGCAGCGGGATCCTCCGCTGTCAAAGATATCGTTTTGGATTCAATTAGGTGTCGATCTTTCTGAGCCATAGAATCTGTGGCCCGTGTTGGCCAAACTCCGTGAACGAGGCTCATGTCGGGCTTGTCTATCATGCTGGACATGCTGCTCGTGTTCGCATAGACACTCAAGGGTGGAATTCTGTTGTCCTCTTAAAACGATCCCTCTATGATAGGCCTGTCGGCCGAACCGTGCTTAGGACATCATGATGGGCTTGCCGGCAAAGCTGGAAGCACACACCAGTTTGATAGTTTACACAAATGGATGGAAAGGGTACAGAGCATCGTAAAGGTTGGGACATCCGCCAGCTGTAGATGTGCTAAGCACTCTGCATCATATTATTATTTCACACGAAGTGTTTTAGCCACGAGGGTGTCCACATCTGGATTTTTGTGCGGTTAACATGCACAAGTGCACCATGCATAGGCAGACTTCGCGTGATGAGGGCCGAGCAAGAATGTCAACTGCAAAGGCGCCGTCGCCACAACAACAAGACAAACGCAACGCTCGCTTGCC